TTGACAGTAGAGGTGGTGTTAGAGGAGGTAACGAGTTCTTGGTATATACAAGGAGGTGACGAGGTCTGGGTATGTACAAGAACTAGCAAGTGTTGACAGTACACGTGGTGCTGGAGGTGGTGACGAGGGATGGGTATATACAAGAACTAGCAAGTGTTGACAGTACAGGTGGTGTTAGAGGAGGTGACGAGTTCCTGGTATATACAAGGAGGTGACGAGGTCTGGGTATATACAAATAATAGCAAGTGTTGACAGTAGAGGTGGTGTTAGAGGAGGTAACGAGTTCTTGGTATATACAAGGAGGTGACGAGGTCTGGGTATGTACAAGAACTAGCAAGTGTTGACAGTACAGGTGGTGTTAGAGGAGGTGACGAGTTCCTGGTATATACAAGGAGGTGACGAGGTCTGGGTATATACAAATAATAGCAAGTGTTTACAGTAGAGGTGGTGTTAGAGGAGGTAACGAGTTCTTGGTATATACAAGGAGGTGACGAGGTCTGGGTATGTACAAGAACTAGCAAGTGTTGACAGTACACGTGGTGCTGGAGGTGGTGACGAGGGATGGGTATATACAAGAACTAGCAAGTGTTGACAGTACAGGTGGTGTTAGAGGAGGTGACGAGTTCCTTGTATATACAAGGAGGTGACGAGGTCTGGGTATATACAAGAACTAGCAAGTGTTGACAGTACAGGTGGTGTTAGAGGAGGTGACGAGTTCTTGGTATATACAAGGAGGTGACGAGGTCTGGGTATGTACAAGAACTAGCAAGTGTTGACAGTACACGTGGTGCTGGAGGTGATGACGAGGGATGGGTATATACAAGAACTAGCAAATGTTGACAGTACACGTGGTGCTGGAGGTGGTCACGACTGCCAGGCATGTACTTCGACGTGAAAAGATTACATTAGATTACACTGGAAGTATTATCTCTTATGAAATGTGTTGGAAAGGAATGCTGCGCAGCCTACTCTAGTTCACAGCTGTTTGATTGCCTCACACACTGTCGCGAGCAGAGGTCATGGACTACATGTTTAGATAAAAGCAAATGTTGAAACACCATCTTTGTAGTGTGGGACACGAAACGTGATTTTGGAGGATGATGTGAAGCTTCTGTATATACAAGACGTGTCGCATGTACACATCGTTATTCCGATACATTGAGTGAGTGAGTGAGTTGGGTTTAATGCCGCTTTTAACAGTATTCCAGTTATATCACGGCGTGTCAGCTTAAGGTGGGAGGAAAGCCCGAAGTGATGCAGGTCTCAGACGTTTACCCCTTCGGTGAAACCGACGAGCACAGGTATGGTGCTGACAAACCTCGGGGCGAACCGGGATTCGAACTCACAATCATAGGTTTCTGGCTTGCCCAAGGATCGCAACTCTGCACAGCGAATCGCAGCGCCTTAGACGACTGGGCCACCCGTGCCCCCTGATACACTGAGTGAGATTTCTCAGTTCGCTATACACGTCACTAATTAGTGATAGATGGGATTTTCGGTCATCAGATATCAGTTCGCTGTATCCGTTAGTTCGCTGTAGAAAGTTCGTTATATACGTAAATTTTATATGATATTATATAGGAGATAAATCGGGGATTTTGTAACAGTTTGTTGTATCCGTTTGTTCGCTATATCCGTTTGTTCGCAATATCCGTGTTCTAATGTATTCCTACTGCATCACTATAAGACCTGAGTATTATAGGCCTAGTTATCGTCCCGTTCGGATTTCGTCCCACGCAACATTGGAGAGGCGACAAAATGGATCGGGGTGTCAGGCTCGGTGATTTGGTTGATACCATGTCATCGTATCCTGTCTGCGAGGACGTTGATCATAATATCAAATACCGATGCTCATGATGTCAATCACTGGCTTGTCTGGTCCAGATTCGACCATTACAGACCCCCTTCATAGACTTAGAGTATTGACGAGTGCGGCGCTAAACAGGCAAACAAACTAAAACAAAGAGAACTAAATCAACATTGCTAGAAGCGCTCGTTATATCTCTAAGACGTGTCCAGTCTGTGAAGTGTTGGCTGCAGATGTAGTTGGTGTCATGATGAGGTTGTGTTGTGGATGCAGGTCATCCTCAATTATCCAGGGTACTATATATCCATCCTTTGTGATATATACCCTGGACCCATTCACCATCAACGTTTCGTTTCGGAAGTGACGTCACCATATCAATCTCTCGTATCACAAATCGGCACATCATTTTTCTCTCTTATGAGAGTAATTTGATTGGAGAGATATTTTTAGTGTCATTGTAGGATATATCCAACTAGATGGAGATATAATACACGCTTTAAGTAGCTTTAAGTTAAACATAATAGAACTTATCGTTGTACCCACGGAAGAATGTGTACTCGACAAATATACTGAACCGCAAAGGAAACGTCACCATGGATAGATATATGAGAAACCTCGTTTGTCCAAACACTGTAAACATACTTTGAGACATATTTAAAAGATGAAACTTGGCAAAACTGATCATCAAGGTTGAAATTAATGTCTCAAATGTTCTTAGAGTGAAACACAACACTAGTCTCTGAGAAGATGGCCTCACAAGTCAGTATCTCGTGTGTCCGCCATGTGTATTGATGACTGCCGTGCAACGTCGATACATGGAATGGTTGAGGCGGTTGATGAAGGCCATAGGCACTTGAGCCCACACTCTGAGGAACGCCTGACGCAGTTCAGCTGCAGTTGTCGGCCTTGGTCGGACGTCATTCAGCCGTCTTTGAAGCTCGTCCCACAGGTGCTCAATTGGATTTAAGTCGGGACTGATGGCAGACCGCTGCATGGTTTTGATGCCATTCTGCTGGAGAAAGTCTCTTGCTACTCTCGCAGTGTGGGCACGGGCGTTGTTATGCTGAAACTCGTGGTTGCGGCGACGTGCGAAATGAGGTATGGCGTGTGGTCTCAAGACTTGATCAATGTACCGAGCTGCTGTGACACCATTGCCTCTCCCTGGACCGTTGTTCTGGAAGACCACAGGGCCGACCTTCTGTGCAAGACCAATTCCACTCCACACCATGATGCTCTGACCACCCCACGAGCCTCTCTCAACAACACAGCGTCGCCAGACTCCATCTCTGCCATCTGCTGTTGAGATACAGTAACGACTGTCGTCTGAGAAGAGGACTCTTCTCCATTGCTGGTGGCGCCAATGCTGGTGCTGTGTTGCCCACTGAAGACGGTCCCGGCGATGACGTGGTGTCAGAATGGGTCCTCGGTGTGACCTGTGACAGTGGAGGTGTCTGCTCGTCAATCGTCGACGCACGGTGTCCGCAATAATGTGTCGCTGGTGTGTCCCCATGGTCTGTCGAGCAGTTTCCGCAGCAGTAACAAAGCGATCTTGAAGATGCTGTCGTACAATCTGACGATCCTGACGTCGGGCGGTGACTCTTGGTCTTCCACTACGCGGTCGGTCATCTGTTGTGTTGGTGGTCTGGTACCGTTGCTGGAGCCTGTATATGGTCCTTACGTGGACTTGAAATGTATTGGCTACCAAGGTCTTGGTGTCGCTGATTCTCTTGTCAATCTTGGCATGTGGTAGCAATTCAATAACGAACCAATGTTATCCGATCTGGCTGGATTTTTATTGGGCAAGAAATGGGGGAACGCATGTGCATTTCAGTTTGCACGGAACTCACGTTACCATGACCGTTGCCGTGATGCGTTTGGGCGATCGGTTTTATTGTCATCTGCTTTGTATTTTTATCATCAATTTCATTTTTCCGGACAAGGTAATGTTAAATTTTAAAAAATAAAAAATTACCCAGATATTTAAATGACAACTTTTCATGCAATGTTACTTGGGGTGACGTTTCTTTTCCGGTTCAGTATATTAATGTTAAATATTCGTCAAAATGATATATAATCAATATTTACGGACCCTGCACTGTCATCAGTGTTATAAACAAATCTCAGCTGTGTGTAGGTCTCTGGCTATTCCCATGTTACCAGAAACTAATCATCATGAAGTCTTTGGTCAAAACTTGATCCTGGACCAGGCAACAGGAATTAACGGAGTGTCACTATCTCACATGGACTATCTCTGTGTGTTACTAGTTACTTCAACCAATGTCATTTATAAGCAATAGGCCGTGACCATGATAACTGTGTAATGGGTCATAAAAGCTTCACTTAGAACGTGATCGCAGTCTGTACTGCCGGGTCGAACTATCGCATCCCCACCTTGAGCGTTCTATGTAGAAACCATGAGTTGTGAGTGTGTGTGAGTGTGAGGGTGTGTGTGTGAGTGTGTGTGTGCGTGCGTGCGCACGCGTGTATGTGTGAGTGTGTGTGTGTGCGTGCGTTCGCACGCGTGTATGTGTGAGTGTGTGTATGTGTGTTTGTTAGTTAATGTGAGTGTGTGTGTATGTGATAGTGTGTATGAGTGTGTGAGTATGTGTGAATGTATGTGTGTATGTGTGTGTGCGTGTGAGTGAGTGTGTGTATGTGCGTGCGTGCGCACGCGTGTATGTGTGAGTGTGTGTGTGAGTGTGTATGTGTGTGTGCGTGCGTGCGCACGCGTGTATGTGTGAGTGTGTGTATGTGACGTGTGTGTGAGTGTGTCTGAGTGGGAGTGTGTTTGTGTGTTAGTGTGTGTGTGTACGGCGTGTGAGTGCAAGCGTAATTTAGTATGTCTGTGTGTTAGTGTGTGTGTGTGAGTGAGTGAGTCTGTGTGTGTTAGTGTTAGTAAGTGTGTTGGTGTGTTTGTTATTGATACGCATCCTGAAAACCTCCACACTTTGTAGAGTGTGTTGTCATAAATCCAAAACATGGAAGTATTGTAATTCTGATTTATAAAAAAACCCACAATTGGTGGCTTTCATTGTAGTATGTAAATGTTTTCTCATGTCCTATCTACGCAGATCCAGTGGTCCAAATATAGGGCCCTCACAACACCGGACCTTCGCACGTCATCAGCTCATCTTCATAGTCGAGCAACACAGTGGGACCCCTCCTACCCACTCTGACAAACAAAACACATTTGGAATGTCGATCACGATGTTTTATTTCACAGCGGACATCAGTTGGCGTGAGCTGTAACACAGTTGGTGTAGAGCTGAAACATACGAAGTGTTAACACGTCTCATAGTGACATAGTGAGTGGTTCACGCCTCTCCCAGACATATGGGTGGGGGAAGAGAGGGGGAGGGGGTTACTTGGGTTCATGGAAAAGTTACACGGAGAAAGTGGGGGGTCGGCATGAAAAAATAATAGTTTTTTTCAAATAATGTGGTAGAAATTTGAACATTTTGTGGGTACTGGTCATTAATTATAGGACGGGGTCATAAACAAATGTTACATTTGGGAAGGGGGTGGGGTTTGTGGGGGTAGTGTGTGTGTGCGGGGAGCGGGAGGGGGGGGGGGGGGGGGGGTTGAGGGTTGAGACACTATGATACTAGAGGATGCGCCCGTCATGGTTTATTCCCCCTGCAGTGTTTTATTGTACGATAACCAACCCCCACTCGTCGTATGTTTCTTAAATACGTTTTAATAAAACATATTCCTAAATGAAAATCGTTGTACTTTGTTATTCAATCTGTTGTGAAGTAATCATGAACGATGTATCTGGATCCAATGTGCTGAAAAGAATCCTTTTACCGGACACCTTCGCCATTTTGTCAGAGATGTATACGAGATATATCCTTAACCCTTGAAGATCCGGGGTAGAATAGGTCTTCAGCAACCCATGCTTGCCGTAAAAAGCGATTATGCTTGTCGTGAAAGGCGACTAACGGGATCGGGTGGTCAGGCTCGCTGACGTGGTTGCTACATGTCATCGATCGTGCATCGATGCTCATGATATTAATCACTGGATTGTCTGGTCCAGATTCGGTCATTTACAGACCACCGTCATATAGCTGGAATATTGCTGAGAGCGGCGTTAAACAACAAACAAACATGCCAGCGGGACAGAAAGCAGAATGAAAAGTAATGCATGACCATATATTGTCGTTCAATTTATTTATTTTTGCTGAGTGCGGCGTTAAACAACAAACCAACCAACCAACTTGGTGACGGAATTTCAGTTGCCATTCGTAAGTAAATGACGTTTTGGTTACCAAAGTTACCAAAATGACTACCTGTTGGTTGAGGTGTGGCCTCCTTGGTTGTAATTTATCAGATTGTTGCACACCATTATGGAATTTCTATTTTCAGGTCATTTTCGACGTTAGGTTTTAATTGTCGATGTTTATGATTGCCTTTTGATATTTATTTTGGATTTGTTATTACATTAAACCTAGATACACTCAGAGTTGACTTATCTGCTTCAAATAAACTTGGCAGACAGGTGATGATTGATCATTAAAATGTTTTATAGGTGTTCGGGCATCTAGGCCCATTTACACCTTGCCCATAATAAAGGTTTGCTAAGTACCTAGATCTTTTATAAAGTATCAATACTGCCACACGCTTTAATGTAAGCGAGAATGACATTCTGAATTGGTGAACAATATTCCTAGAACATAAAATACCAGACAATGAGAAGTCAATATTGAGAACTGTTAGAGACTCCACCATTGCCTTACGCTGATTAACATACTGTTGGTAATACAAAATGAGCTACATTATCAAGCTGATTACACACTGTACAATGTGCAGAAATGTCTTTATCAATAGCATTTAGATAAGCTCCAAGACCACAATGCCCAAGACGAAGTCTGGTTAAGAGAACATCCTCTCTCTGATTATTTCTAGTTATGTGTAATTTAGTGACAAAAGGATCGATGCCAAAGAGAATACGTCCTTTTAAAGGAAGATGCCCATCTCGGCTGCCATTTTGTTTTAGCATGGGTCATACTGACGGTGCCTAACTCTTCAGAAGAAGGTAAAATTGTTGGCAGATAGGTATCAGGGTATCACTCAAAAATGTATTGTTACATGACTTACGTTCATCATGTAGGTCCTGAACTCTGCGATCGAGATTTCCCCATTTCCTGCAATACATAAACCGTTGTCAAGGGTTACAGAGAGGGGAGACAACTCATATGTTCAGCCATTCCATCTGTTTTAGAGACTGTCAAGGCCAAAGTTTTCACATTTTCTGAAACTGGCGACAAAGTGAGAAACAATGAAGGACTATTTGTGTCCTGTGTTTTCATTTGAAGAAACCGAAATTTACGAATTAGGGGGTAAAGACACGAAGCCGAACTGCTTTGGAAAGGTGGAATCTGATTGGATCAAGAACCTACAAATCCTTCACTTTGATTGGGCGTTAAGTACCTCAAGATTCATGTAATGTGACCTGTTATGGGTGTGTTCGCAGATCTACACGCAGAGAGGTATTGTCCCCCCCCCCCTTCCTGTAACATAAAAGAGACATGAATGCACACCCACCGTCAGTGTCGAGATTTTTTGACCAAGCGACGAGGTCACTGTCGGTCAGACGCATGTCGTTGTTCATGTCGAAATTTTGGAAGAGGTAGCCGACAAAGTCGCGAACGTCGAGGTAGTGCCGATGCCATTGTAATGTAAACTCACTCTCTGTGATATTGCCGTTTTCTGAAACAACATAATGTTTTCGTTAAACCTAAGGCATAATTATCTTTCAAATATTTTCTGCACCAATATTATTCACTCATGATGCGTTCTGTGCTAAGTTAGTGTAAGAGAGAGAGAGAGCGAGAGCGAGAGAGAGAGAGAGAGAGAGAGAGAGAGAGAGAGAGAGAGAGAGAGAGAGAGAGAGTTGGTGACTAAGGAAGCTACGGTGTCGAATGGGGCCAGGGTATTTATCATTATGCATGTACAAATATCATACACTTGAATTCTTGTCAGACACAGAATACTGCTTCAAGGCACACAATGTCCTTTTACAACATACTATCAAGCATTTCCAGCAAACAGGTTTGTTTTGTGTAAAATTATATTATATTACCCATACGGGTCGAAGGATCGTGTGTAAACGCCTTCCGATAATTGCACATGTGCATTCAGCGATTCTCAATGTTGGGTGTTCATTTGAAGCCATAATACGTCACAACGCTTTACTGTTGAGTAAAAGCCGATATAACGTCATCCATTGTTCATCGCGACACACATTGATTACATCACGTCATCTGAACAGTAGGCATCCTTCAGTGAAGTGTACCTGCGATAAAGTACACTTTTTGAATTACGTCATAATGGACTGACGTCATGGCGCTGTTCAAGTTCCATCCTTGGTAACACCGTTCTTTCATTATTGTCATGCAAGATGGCGCATCCACGTCATAAACTTTACATTTTAAAACTAATCCCATATATGATATATAACGGACAAATGTATCAGAGAAGGTAATTTTTAATCATTTATGTCCAAAGAAGGATTTTAATTAACGGCGGTAACTATAGTTTGTTCCAAGCACCTACGGTATTCGGTAATAACATCAACAGTTTAAATCATAAGTCCCAAGCACGAGAATCTGATGATGGCACACAAGTTCAGTAGCGTGTATGGACACCATGTGCGTTGACAACTGCCACACAACGCCTCCGCATGGACCTTGTGATTCTTGTGAACACGAAGACGACGCCATTGTTGCTGCAAAATGGTGCCAAGATCTTGCAAATTCTGTGGTTGGTTCTGGAGAGTGCGCAGACTTCTGCCAAGACCATCCCAGACGTGTTCGATGGGATTGAGGTCGGGAGACCTTGACTCCCCCATTCGTAAGGAAATTCCTTGTCAAAATTGCTGTGTGGGGTCTGGCATTGTCATGTTGGAAGATCAAACCTGGTCCATGTGCTGCCATAAAAGGCAGAAGTTCGGGTGCCAGTACCTGGTCGCGGTAAGCAGCAGCGTTGAGGTTTCCACGGATGACAAGAAGCCTGGAACGTGCATTGCCACAGAAAGCACCCCACACCATGACACTTCCGCCTCGAAATCTGTCAACTTCCTGTACACAACACTGGGCGTAACGTTCATGACGGCGCCTCCACACCCTCGCCCTACCATCAGCAAATCGAAGATTAAATCGGGATTCATCACTGAAGACGACTTGATTCCAATTCCTCTGAGTCCATCGTAAGTGCCGCTGTGCCCACAACTGAGGTTGACGTCTGTGTAATGCAGTATGGCCGTAGTGCTTGAAGGTGAGCAGTTCTCAGACGGTTTCGAACAGTTTGCGCTAAACCCCTAAACAGTTCATTTCTGGTTGATGTAGCCGTCAAAAATCGGTTACGGAGGTGACGTAAGACAATCTGACGATCCTCTGCATGTGACGTCACACGTGGTCAACCTGGCCGAGGGCGATCAGCGGTGGTACCCGTTTGCTGTAGACGCGTCTGTAAATCATGAACAGTCCGTCGACTACAACGGTTAATTTATTACCCATCGTCCTTGAGACTTCAGCTACGGACGTTCCCGTCTGCAACATGCCAATGGCACGTTCACGTTGCACATTTGAAAGGCGTGGCATGACAAATGGCCGTAAAGACTTTTGTTTTCTTGTGTTTTTCTTTTTTTTGTTAATGACTGCTAAGAAGTATGGCTGAAAACACGTGCGGTATTATGGCCACGTGACCAGTTGCACGTGAAAAAACACTTTTGCCATGATGATTTTGATCGATTCACCTGCACCTGTGTTATCTGAAGACAATACGTGGCCATTACTGTTTAAATACACAATAAGGGCCAACAATGATAACTGGTCAAAATGTTAAAATTTTAGGATTGTGAGTGAGTGAGTGAGTTTGATTTTACGCCGCTTTTAGCAATATTCCAGCAATATCACGGAGGGGGACACCAGAAATGGGCTTCACACATTGCACCCATGTCGGGAATCGAACCCGGGTCTTCAGCGTGACGAGCAAACGCTTTAACCACCAGGCTACACGACCGCCCCTTAGGATTGTGAAGTTTGTAATTTGGTTCAGTATATTTGAATAATATTACGTGGGAAGAAATATGTCAAGATGATGTCAGTCATATATCATGCCGCAGGCATCTCCCAAACATACATACACCATTGTGCCCGTGCCAAAGCAGTTTGAAACTGTCCGAGGCGGGCGTTGGTGCTCTAGGAATTATGTCTGTCTCTGGGTAAGGGAAAGAGCATCTTCACGAGGCAAGTGAGTTAACTGACTATAAAAGTCCAGTTTCCACCCTTGCCGAACTGGGCTGCAGGTGTAGAGTTATATTTTGGCTGGACTAACGTGCCTATGCATAGTCCAATCAAAATCGCGCACCGAAATCGAAAACCGGTTCGTAAACTGTCATGCAGATTTTGTGTCGATTGCAGGATTTGCACAGCATGTGCACCGTCAACTCGTTGTCAAACAGATATTTTCCAAATCTTTTCAAGTTTTCAATCAAGGTCCTCACGTGATTCGATGTACTTCGCGATGTAAGACTCGTTTGATCACAATATAGATCTTGATTGTCGATCATATCCTCTTGACTGGGCGCCGCCATTTTGTTTGAAGCAAACGCAAGTGATACGAGAGGTGGAATCTGATTGATCCATAGGAGAGGCATAGAAGGGACATAACTCGTAACAGCCACTGGTGACGCTAGGATCGTGCCCAGGAATTCCAGCCTGATTCGGCAAGGGTTTTAACTGGACTTTTAAAGTCAGTTAACTCTCTTGCCTCGGGAAGATGCTGAATGAGCAATCCTTGATAGGTTTCATAACCACCTGTTAGTCAGCATACGGCATTTAGCAACATACTAAAGTCAAGCAAAACGGCCGCTGTTGGAGTCACGTGATTAAATTGAAGCAAATTAATATGAAAACTTAAATTTAAAAATTCCACTTATTGTTGTATAAGATTATGGGTAAACAAACAATGTAATATGACCTATTCAAATAATAAAACATCCCATTTTAGTGGTGTATTATTATGTCTCAAACGTAAAATATGCCTCTTAACGTGAGGGTGCAGGCAATTAGGTGGAAGAGCCCGACAATGAGACCTGTTCGAGGATTTTAAGTTTACGTAACTGGTCATTACAGATTTGATTTTAAACCCAGCTTCAATATAACATGAGGTTAGTCTTAAAGTCGGCCTCTTTGAAAAGTAATAAAGTTTGCTCTACCCCCATGTGTTGTGTAATAAAGTATTGTTTTGCCCTGAACTATCATGACGTCAAAGCTCACTGACGCAAGCAGCAAAACTATACTTTATACACTACACATGGGGTAGAGCAGTCTTTATTCTTAATTATATTTCTATTATCTACTCAAGACTCAGAATTATCTGTTTCTCGTAGCTCGTTGATTATTCTCTAAATATCCAGACTATCAAATGGCCAGTCCCTTCTTGAGATGCGATCAACATTGGCAAAATACAGTCTTGGGTCCCTTGCCGTTATTCGAGGGTTTACGGTACTGCCCCTACTAGGAAATAGGATGTCAAATTGACTGATTGATGACGATTTAGGTAAGACATGGTTGATGGAAACTATATTTGTTACCAATATGCCAACTGTATCAAAATGGCCTGAAAATAATCGAGGGTCAGGTATGGAATCCAAGAAGGGACATTGTCGCATTGTCGCCCTCAGGGAAACAAGCGAAAAGTATTAAAATTAACCAAAGCGCAACAATGCGACAACGCGACAACGCGACATTTTGGCCATTTGTTGCATTGTCGCGCTTTGAATGATATTTTTTATATTACCAAAGGGCGATTACGTCCCTTTAAAGATTTCATATTCAGGCAAACCAATGACAGAAAGCTTGAGCAACGACGCGAAATTGGCCATGGCACCGAGCTTAACCACGCGATGAACTTCAATCGGTAAGAGGCGACTATCGGGATCGGGTGGTCAGACTTGCTGACTTGCTTGATGCAGGTCATCCAAATTGTGTGGATCGATGCTCATGATATCAATCACTGGATTGTCTGCTCCAGACTCGATTATTTACAGACCGCCGTCATATAGCAGGAATATTGCCGAGTGCGACGTAAAACAACAAATCAACCGACACTTCAGTCGACTCTTGCAACAAGCATAGGTTACAGGGCACCGATTCTTATCATAATGATTATCCTACTGTCAACGTCATATCCGGCGACGAAGTGCTGGACCTCGGTTGGCTCCACAATGCCGTCGCCATCTTTGTCAATGTCGGAGATGACGTTGCTGACCACCTGGCTCGACAGTAGATCGTCATGATTGGTGTGGATGCAGGAGTGGTTGTGGCCATGTTTTCTGCAGGCAGAAAAGCCCCCGATAAGTTGGGGCTTCTTTCAAAATTATTCCAGTTCTAAAGTGGGCTGGAGGAAATGTGAATGCAAACGTGCCCAAGACGTTTCCCACGAACGGGTAATGGTGCGGACAACCAACTGCATCTGATCTGATATACTAGTTTATACCACCCACCCATAAACTGCACCTGATCTGATAAATAATTAAGACAATGTACCCATAAACTGCATCTGATCTGATATACTAGTTTATACCATCCACCCATTAACTGCACCTGATCTGATAAATGATTTAGACAATGTACCGATAAACGGCACCTGATCTGATATACTAGTTTATACCATCCACCCATAAACTGCACCTGATCTGATAAATGATTTAGACAATGTACCCATAAACTGCACCTGATCTGATATACTAGTTTATACCACTTACCAATAAACTGCACCTGATCTGATATACTAGTTTATCATCTAAAACTGGCTCCCACAGGAGATATCTCTTGGATGAGATCAAGCGATATCTACACTTTAGATATCGCTGCAATGAAATTACATCACAATGCTTTGCAGACCATTGTGACATCACTGGTTACCATGACGTCACAATCAAATGACATCACTAATGGCTCTGCTACTGAAGCTGTTTGCATTACTTTTTATACCGAAGACACTGCTAATTACTGTCTACAAATTGAAAAAGTTGAAAGAATGATGATAAATAAAATATTACCCTCGTGTCTTTTGATATCAAATATATCAACACTCGTTGATAAAAGTGGCAAATATCCTCGGCAAGCCTCGGACGTTTTCCACTTTTATCAACTCGTGTTGATATATTTGATATCAAAAGACACTCGGGTGAGATTCTCTATTTATACCACTTACCCATAAACTGCACCTGATCTGATATACTAGTTTATACCACTTACACATAAACTGCATCTTATCTGACATACTAGTTCAGACAATGTACCCATAAACTGCACCTGACCTGATATACCAGTTTATACCACCCATAAACTGCATCTGACCAGATAATCCAGCATATACCACGCACCTACAAGCGGCATCTGATATGCTAGCTTATACCAGTCATCTATAAACTGCATCTCATATGAGATATAGCTTATACCACACGCAGATAAACTGCATCTGATCTGATATTCTATAGCTTATACCACTCACCCATAAACTGCTACAGATCCGATTAGAACAAGGAAAGCTATCATGATTCTGAAAAATAATAAAATGGAGTTTGAGTTTGAACATTATTTATAGTAAATGGAACAGATTCATAGCATCCAGTACACCTGGTGTTGGGGGAGTTTGATAGCGCCTAGTAGATACAGAAGGTAACAGGTCTGGACAGCGCACCTGGTGTTGGGGAGTTTGATAGCGCCTTGTAGATACAGAAGGGGAGTTTGATAGCGCCCAGTTGATACAGAAGGTAACAGGTCTGGACAGCGCACCTGGTGTTGGGGGAGTTTGATAGCGCCTAGTAGTTACAGAAGGTAACAGGTCTGGACATAGCACCTGGTGTTGGGGAGTTTGACAGCGCCCAGTTGATACAGAAGGTAACAGGTCTGGACATAGCACCTGGCGTTGGGGAATTTGATAGCGCCCAGTAGATACAGAAGGTAACAGGTCTGGACATAGCACCAGGTGTTAGGGAGTTTGATAGCGCCTAGTAGATACAGAAGGTAACAGGTCTGGACAGCGCACCTGGTGTTGGGGAGTTTGACAGCGCCTGGTAGATACAGAAGGTAACAGGTCTGGACAGCGCACCTGGTGTTGGGGAGTTTGATAGCGCCTGGTAGATACAGAAGGTAACAGGTCTGGACAGCGCACCTGGTGTTGGAGAGTTTGATAGCGCCCAGTAGATACAGAAGGTAACAGGTCTGGACAGAGCACCTGGTGTTGGGTGAGTTTGATAGCGCCTGGTAGATACAGACGGTAACAGATCTGGACAGCGCACCTGGTGTTGGGGGAGTTTGATAGCGCCTAGTAGATACTGCCCTTTATATGATGATGTGAGAGAGATATTTAGAGATTCGTTAGATACAACTATCCTACCTTACCAACTGAACCGTGAAGATCCGGGGTAGAATGGGTCTTCAGCAACCCATGCTTGCCGTAAAAGGCGACTATGCTTGTCGTAAGAGGCGACTAACGGGATCGAGTGGTCAGGCTCGCTGACTTGGTTGATGCATGTCATCGATCCCAATTGTGTTGATCGATGCTCATGATGTCAATTACTTGATTGTCTGGTCCAGACTCGATCATTTACAGACCGCCGTCATATAGAAGGAATATTGCAGAGTGCGGCGTTAAACAAGAAACAAACAAACAAACAAACAAAGGATCACCTGCTGGAGAGGTTTGTCATTAACGATAGGTACAGTAACAGGCAAGCGTTGGTGTTGCACAAAGCAATATTGGCGCTTAGACTGGGCAAGTGGGCCGGAACAGCGCTAAGATGATCGTAACTCCCATACTTTAACATAGGCTTACAATAGTCTTAACGCTAAGATCGCTTTGTGCAAGTGGGCCGGAACAGAACACCTGGGCCCACTTACACAAAGCGATCTTAGCGCTAAGATGATCGTAACTCCCATACTTTAGCATAGGCTTACAATAGTCTTAACGCTAAGATCGCTTTGTGCAAGTGGGCCCTGGTCTCCCTGTGGGGATTCCGGGTTAAATAGGTCTCCATCAACCTATGCTGGTCTTCTCATGGGCATTCCGGGTTAGAATAGGTCCTCAGCAACCCATGCTGGGCCCACTTGCACAAAGCGATTTTAGCGCTAAGATGATCGTAACTCCCATACTTTAGCATAGGCTTACAATAGTCTTAACGCTAAGATCGCTTTGTGCAAGTGGGCCCAGGATGAGGTATTGACAAGAAAAGTTAAGATTCGCCACATAGCGGCATTGAAACATCAGTAACTATACCTGGAGGAGGAGAAGTACAGCTAGTGTTCCACAAGGCTGTCTGGCTGATACTACCGACAAGCGGGCGCGTTACTTCTCATTTAAAGTGTGAAGATGCGAAGGAGTGTCGTTTTAAAAAGTAAACATTTGTGCAGACTTTATACACCTGTGTCTTTCACAGAGTTGTCACTTTAATTTGGATCGCGTTGAAGTCTAAAATATGCGTGTGATAGAGGCAAGGTCACGACAACTATGCAGTGTCACTATTTGAGACGGATCTTCTGTTATTTGGTTCTCCATATATGGAAACATACTCTAAATTTTAGAAACATTTTTTCCCCGTGGGATCTCCACTGATGTTTATCGGATAGAGCGTCGGCCCGAGGAGCGGAAGGTCGGTGATTCAATTCCTAGCACGTCATACCAAAAGATGTTAAACGATGGTACTTGTTGTTATCCTGTCTGGCGCTCGGCATTAAGGGGCTAAGGCAAGGACGTCAGTGTACTGTGTCTGAGTAGGGTATTCATGTTAAACTGCGGCATGGTATCTCAGTGGGCTAGCACTGTAAATCGGCATCAGTCCGGACGAGTACAGCCAGCCACACATACTCAACGCACGCACGCGCGCGAGTGTGTGAATGCACGTGGCTATATACGTGCAATAATCTTGAACGCCATGTCATACCCATTTCACCTCACCTCAACCTTTCCCGCTGAATCAGGTAACAGAACACCTCGGGTCTCTTCCAAGACACATGTAGAAGGAATGGATGACATTCCCACAGCGTCTAAGCTTCAGTATATAAGTGGCGGACATTTCTAAATTTGACCCATTAGTGACAAACATTTGGTCCGATGCAAGTACCTATTTTGACTTGTACCATGTGTTCCCGGGTGAAATAATTGACTTGCCTTTGCATGTGTTTGTGATGGATGTCACCGCTCTACCACTAGGCCACGGAGGCGGTCCTTTAAACAATAAAATTCTTAGATAAAATGTTTTGTATAACAAATCTAACCATCAGTTTTTATTGCACATTTGGGTGTACCTACATATAATAGCAAACAATTAAAAATTACAAACAAATTGTTGATAAAACTGTAAATTATTAGAAATAATACATAACAACATACCACCTTATAACGGTTATCAAATCAAATAGTTGAATTTAAAGTTTTATATATATAATACACATGTATTCACACTAATGGTCTGTCATGCAAGCAAGTTATTTTGGCTGAATGACCTCGAACTTTGGTATCCGAGGGGACCTCTGGGTATTGGCGTCCTTGACTGGATTGGGGTTGATTGACTGCGCTTTTCCGGTTGACCTATTGATGCGCCTCATCACCATGTGCTTCAGTTCCTCGTGGCTCAGAGGGGGAGGCCGGTTTCTTCACTTATCTCATTCATGTCCTCATCTTCCCTACAAATACATGTCAGCATGAGACCCGTGAAGATCCGGGATAGAATAGGTCTTCAGCAACCCCTTTTTGCTCTAAAAGGCGACTATGCTTGTCGTAAGAGGCGACTAACGGGATCGGGTGGTCAGGCTCGCTGATATGGTTGATACATGTCATCGATCCTAAGTGCGTCGATGATCGATGCTCATGATATTAATCACTGGATTGTCTGGTCCAGATTCCATTATTTACAGACCGCCGTCATATAGCTGGAATATTGCCGAGAGCGGCGTTAAACAACAAACAAACAAACAAACAAACAAACATGTCAGCATGACAGAAAAGCAGAATGTAAAACAATGCATGACCACAAATTGTCGTTCAATTTATTTATTTATTTTACATCTTTGAAACTGTGTACGGAACTGAAGATGAGTCCCTATCTCTTGGGTGAGTGAATGTTGTTTTAGGCCACATCAACAATTTTGCAGTTCTTCTCAGAAATAATCAATGGAAACAAAGGTTCAACTAAAATTGGTGTTTTTTTAGGCCGCTAAAAAAGATCGTGGGAAAGTACCTATCTAAATCCTTAAGACTGTGTTTGTGACGGGGATGGAACTAACTACCCAAGAACTGGAGAAGCTATTGTGACGATGTTATTGGAGGGATTACTTACCCAAGACCTGGAGACACATTGCCTGATAGAACTTTTGAGATGTTGCACATTGTACAACACATCACTCACCAATATACAGACATATTGCCTGATAGAACTGTTTAGATGTGGCACATTGTACCACACATAACTCACCCATATACAGACACATTGCCTGATAGAACTAGTCAGATGTTGCACATTGTACCACACATCACCCACCCATATACAGACACATTGGAGACTAGAACTTTTGAGATGTTGCACATTGTACTACACATCACCCACCCATATACCGACACATTGGGGACTAGAACTTTTGAGATGTTGCACATTGTACCACACATCACTCACCAATATACAGACACATGGGAGACTAGAACTTTTGAGATGTTGCACATTGTACCACACATCACTCACCAATATACAGACATATTGAAGACTAGAACTGTTGAGATGTTGCACATTGTACAACACATCACCCACCCATATACAGACACATTTCCTGATAGTAGTGTTATGATGTTGCACATTGTACCACACATCACTCACCCATATACAGACACATTGCCTGATAGAACTATTGAGATGTTGCACATTGTACCACATAACACTCACCCATATACCGACGCAGTTCCGAGTAGAAGGAGGAGGGCTATCATGGTTGCTGAAACAGGTGAGGAACATCAGTCTATCACTCTTCTCATTGTACACCCACAGAACTGTGACCGCCGTGAACATGAGTGTCATAGTAAAATGTCTGCAGTGGTTGTATGCAAGTGTGGTAAAAAAGGGGATGACAGGGTCTGGGTATACACAAGAACTAGCAAGTGTTGACCGTAAACGTGGTGTGAGAAGAGGTGGATGGGTCTGGGTATGTACAAGAACTAGCAAGTGTTGACCGTAAACGTGGTGTTAGCAGAGGTGGCGGGGTCTGGGTATGTACAAGAACTAGCAAGTGTTGACCGTAAACGTTGTGTTAGAAGAGGTGGATGGGTCTGGGTATGTACAAGAATTAGCAAGTGTTAGGGGAGGTGACAGGGTCTGGGTATATACGAGAACCAGAAAAAGGTTGTATTAACAGTACAATAGTTGTAGGTATGCAAGCATCGAGTTAACATGAAAGGTTTTCTCACTACTTTCATACATTACCTGTTGAAGTGTTCAAGCGGGATCTTCCACTAGAAGTGTTATCTCTTATATAAAGTCTTGCAAAGGGAGTGGTGCAGATGGAGTACCTTAATTAATTCACAGCAGATTTAACACAGCATGTTAGGTAAGGACTCCATGTTTAGATAGAAGAAAATGTTGAATCCCAAACTATGTAGTGGGTCACGTAGGATGTGTACAAGAAGTATCTGGGGATTTATTCTACGCATGTACCCATCGTTATTCCGATATTCCTGTTGTAGAACTATTAGACCCGAGTATCGTCTTGTTGGGGTCTCGTCCCCAGCAACATTGGAGAGGCGACTCAGTGCATCGGGGTGTCAGGCCCGATGCTACCACGTCATCGTATCATGTCTGCGAGGGACGTTGATCATAATACCAAATACCGATTTGTCTGGTCCAGCCTCGGCAATTACACGCCGTCGTCATATATTTAGAATATTGTCGAGTGCGGCGTGAAAAAAACTAAAAGAAAGAGTATCTAAATCAACATTGCTAGAAGCGCTTGTCGTATCTCTAAGACGTGGCCATTCGGTGGCTGAGTTCTGTTGGAAATGCTAGAAAACTGCTTTTCTGGCTTCATTTAATAAATACGAGTCAAAGGACTATAAAAAGAGCATATATTAAAATATCGCGAATTGCCCTAATCTAACTTGTCCTAACTGGCACTGTGATTACGCTCAAAATGTACTTTTACAGGTAAAATGATGATAAACTTCGAAAATATTCGTGTGTTGTCATGCATGTATGAAATGGCCTATAACCTGAGATAATTACCTAACACCTGTCCCCAGGTGATGACCTCACACCGTCCCGTGCATTCTCCCAGGTGCACATGTCACCGAGTTGGGGGTGGTCTCAAAATATTGCTGTTATTGTACTTAATTGACATGTGCGTAGGTAGGGTAGCAATTTAGGATATATATTGCATTAAATTTGCTTGGAAACAAATGACCTCATGATGGAATAGTTAAGAGCTACGAAACGGGATGCGTATTGGAAGGTTGCGGTTTTGGAATCCAGAAGTATTTGTTGTTCTACAGATGATTTCTTGAGGTTGCATTTATCTCCGCTGATGACGTATATGAATCTGTACTTTTGAATGTCGTGTTATGTCTTGCCACGAACTCTTTACACTTGGCCAAAATGGGCACAAGAGGGTTGAACTCACAATGTCTGACTGGCGTACGTAACACAACGTAACCGTGTTGTGCCGCCAGCACATATGTCGTGTTCTTATTCCGCCGATTTTTTCTACATGAGTTGAACTTTCGTTTGATATGGTCTGAAACCGACGATGTCATATATTCCTGTATGGTCGCCTTCAGTCTACTCATGGTTTGGGCGACAGTATCTGATTCCCAGACGTTATATTAACTGTCGTTACCCATGACAATGACACTGGCGTTGTTTAAAATGGGGAATAGCTGAAATTCCAACCATTCTATGAACAAATCACCTCCTATAATTTCCTCATGAAATTCATCAGTTTTCTTTTTCGCCTCGAAAACTAGCACACATCCATCAATAAGTCCCATATCATGGGTTGCAGCGTGTAAAACAATGACACGATTACCTTTATCTGATGGTACCATGGGTGCTTTTCCACATGTAGTCAGTGGCATGATTCATCAAGGTAAATTATCTGGACGCCGTGACTGTGATAGTTATAAATGGTTCGGAGATAATGTGACCTCATAAACAGGATGGAATATTTTCCCCTGAAAAGTGCTCTGACATTGCCATGCTCAGTGTATCGAAATTCCATCTCTTGGAGGGCAATAGTTAATGCAGTTGACATTAATTGTATCTTTAATTCCTCCCTGATTCTACTACAAGTCAGGGTTACCTTCTGCTCATAAAGCTTGTACACTATACGCCTAATCACCCT